AAGGATGATGTGAATGAAAATTGAGGAATCTGCCTGAAAAAGTAGCCTTACGATAAGCGTCAAGTATTAAACTGTCTTCATTAACTATAATCAAAGTATCTAAAAAACTAATCCTTCCTTCATTGCCAATTTCCATAGTAAATTTTAGCCTTGTATGTAATGAGTTAAAAACATTCAAAATGTCGTCAACTTTATCAGAAGGAGCTGCTAAGATAATATCATCAACATAACGATAATAAAAATTGAGATGAATAGGTAATAGACTAATAGCAGTTTCTTCAAAATCCTGCATAACCATATCTGCGACTATTGGTGATAATGGCGATCCCATAGGAGTACCAAAAATTTGTTTATAAACCTTTTTATTAAAAATGAAAAACGTTGAATTTAAAACTAGTTTGAAAGCAATCAAAAATTCATTTAGTGGAATATCAGTTTTTTTGGATATGGAATCCCATCTCTTTATAACACTATCAGATGCCAAATCTATAGGTATATTTGTGAAAAGGGAAACCACATCCAAGGAAACTAATACTGAATTAGTATCTAATTTTTTATTTTTCAATTTATTTATCAAATCAGAACTGTTTTTAATGAAGCTTGGAGCTATATGTATAGAGTCATTTATAATCTTATGTAAAAATAATGATAAATTATATAACGGGCTATTAATAGATGAAACTATCAATCTTAATGGAAAATCAATTTTGTGTATTTTAACCAAACCATATGCTCTAGGAATATTACCATCAGTAGTAAGTAATCTCCTGTAAGTAAATTTATCTATATAACCAGATTTTTTCCATCTCAATAAAATATCACGTAAATCATTGGTGAGTTTCTTAACCGGATCTTTATTTATTATTTCATATGTATTGATATCAGACAACATAATTTCCATTTTTTTATTATAATCAGTTTCACATAGAGCCACTGTAACATTTCCCTTATCAGCTTTAGAAAATAAAATGTCAGGGTGTTCTTTAATAAACTTTTTTGTAATTTTAATCCAATTAAGTAACATTCTATTATTAAAATCTAATTTTGGAAAACTATTTTGAAATTTTCCAAGAATTGGTACTGTATTATTTCTTACAAAATTAACCATATTATCAGGACGACCCTTTATGTTGCTTTCAATACTTTTAATAAATTCAATAAATGTATGTTCCAAATTGTACTTATTAATGGGAAGCCCGAAACCTTCACCTACTTCAATGGGAATATCAATATTACTCAAATTATAAAACCATTTGTCATTCAACGTGTTCAAAGGAGTTGTTTCACCAAAGTCATAAGCAGAGATATGTATTCTTTCAATTGATGAAAAATTGTCATCATTAGGCACATTATAAGAAACCAAGTTAGTCTTCAACTCATTATTTAAAGAGCAAACATATGTAATAGGCTTAATATGAGATTTTTTAAGATTATTATCTTTTTCTATTAACCAATGAAACTTT